CTTTTCCGACTTATGAGTTCACCTTGGCCAAGGATTTCATTATTAACTTAACTGGATAAAATGTAGATCATAATCTCTTACTATCTAAGAGTGACGAATCCTCTATTGATCATTCACAACCTTCACATCATTCTTGACATACCCGAACGATGCTGTATTAGCGACCCTTGACAGAGCAACATCCAACATCACCAAAGTATGACTGCCCTCATATAAGGTACTATGATGACCTCAAGTCAAAGGACCAATTCCACTACCGAACGTTAGAGATTAACCACTAACACTTAGATAGTTATCCATGTGGAATCTCTCAGTGGGTCTCCAATGTTTTGTTCTATAACAAAACATCCACGTGTTCATTCAAGTGTCACCACACTTTAGCTTGTGAGATCAGCTACTTACTTCACAAGTAAGAATGCCACACGCGATAATCTATCCGTAATAACGATATCCGTATCTCGTTATTACTTCGACCACGGATGATTTAAGATTCGATCATTTGTAATTTGTATCTCACAATCACAACTCCTTGTGATTAACGAATCACCAAGATTGAATCTACGGATTCTATTATTTAATTTATTATAATATTAATTTAATTAAATAATAGATATTGCCATACGTGCATCAATTATATATATTTAAAGTGTTTATGTCCAAAGTTGATTGGACTTAGGGCATAACACTTACAAAAAGCTACTTTTGAGCACATTAGAAACATGATTGCCTCTTTTATTATTCCTTATTTCTAGAGATGCCTCACCACATGAGATGATCTATTTTATGTAAATCTCGAAAGTAGATAATCGGTACAAGCCACCTCTTTTTTTCTATGCTATGGTCAAAGTCTCGTTAAGTCAGTAGACTATTGTATTTAAGTCTCATCATGGGATAACCTACAAGAGCTACCTCTTATTTTCTCAGTGTGACCAACACCTTGCTAAGTTAACTATTTTACGTAAGTCTCGGCACGAACCATCACTTCTTTCCTCATTGTAGCTAGCTCTCTTACCAAGCAAGTCTGCTATATTCTATAACTCTAAAAAAAAAAAAGGGATAACCTACATGAGCCACCTCTTATTTTCTCAATATGGCCCAAATCTGACCAAGAGAATCGACTATTTCATGTATGCGTGGACAAGGAATAACCTGCTACCAACTCTTCTTTCCTTGTTGTGGCTTAGGCCTTGCCAAGCGAGTCGACTATTTCATGAAAGTCTTTCAGTGGGTAACCTACATGATCTACCTCTTCTTTCCTTAAACCTTGCCAAGTGAATTGACTCTTCATGTAAGCACCATCGAGGATAATTTGTACGAGTTATCTAAAATTTTTAAAATTCTCCCTCTTCTTCACATATCAGAATTTCATATTCCCTATTACCAACTATTTTCATCATCAATATATTCAATGTTTTTAAATTATGAAAAGTTAAAGTTTCACCCAAAAGTATTATTACTCATAATCATGAGATTTTTTTCTTGGAACTCTTCTATATTTTATTTTTTATGGAATTGAGATAGATAGGATAAGTAGTTGATGTGTTTGAATTATGTTTTTATTAGAAAAAATTAGCACAAAGAAAGAGAGATCCCTTTGAAGAAGAAAAGAACAAAAGGGAAGAAAAAACATTATACAAGTTTCAAGGTCAATTCCATTATCCAATACTTATCCGATGATTCTAAACTTCCTCTCTTTTATTTAATTTTTATGATTTGAGCTTTATAGTGTTACATTGAGGACAATGTAGAAATTAAGTTTGGGGTGGAAAATCTAGATTTTCTTTTGATTTAATTTGTATGAATAATTTGTGTGTTATTAATTTAGGTTTAATTTTGAGTCTAATTTTTTTTTTTTTTGAAAAACTCAAAAATAGTGTCAATGTAGCGTTGAATGGTTTGTCGCCTATGATGATACTTATTTATTTGAATTGAGTATAACTTTAGCAAGAACATTGGACAACATCATAACTTGTGTTTTTATTTGAGTACTTATCCATATTAGACTTGATTGTATGGATACATAGTCATTATTGACTCATCACTTATTTTAGAGCATGACTTGATTATATGAATTAAATTGTTGATGTTATTGACCTAGGCTTGAGTTGAATTCCTAGATCTTTAATGTAGTAACCAATCTGCTAAGCAGTTTGGGGTGGGAAGGCTAGTGCTTGTGTCCATAGAAATTTGATGGTTTGGAGTTCTTAGATCCCATAGTTGGTTGAAGGAGTTTGAGTTAATGAGTCTAGAACGGGTATTGACCAATTTTAAATTTCGAATCCCATATCAAAAAGAAAATTTATATACTCACCTTCGATACCTTTATGACTCAAATGATTAAGCCCGCTAGGATATCTAAAACCTGGTACCCTATGGTCATCTGAGTTGAGAGCTATCAGCCTAAAACTCACTACAAAAGTTATTTAGAAAGTATAATGGAGAGAATCTTGCACATAAGATGTAAAAAAGATCAATTTATATTCATAGGGAAAGAAAGAGAAACATATTTATATTATCAAAAGCGAGAGGTGCCAGATGAGGACTTTAGAGATTCAAACTTTAGTAAGTGGTGGTGTGACTTTGACAAATACTTACGATCTTTCTTCTAGGTTTACAAATATCTAATTCTCACTTTGTGTGGAAAAATGCATAATAATGATTCTTAGGAACCCCACGTACATTAGAAATATCTCGAGAATAGATAAAAGTATAAGAAGTGATCTTGCATGAGAAGTGTGAAAAAATGAACCACGAGAGGACCGGGATTATGAGTAAATTAACAACACTAGGTTGGTTATGTTCTAGTATGGCTTTGATTTCAGTGTTAGCTAAGCGCTCACACACTAAGTCGAGTATCGGATAAGTAAAAAAATTATTTGTGATATTCTTTAGATCTTCCAACGTGTTACTTAAATTTGAACCTGAGGCATATGTGAAGTAGTTCAACGTTGAGTTTTTATTTGTGATTCGCTTAGGGTATTAATATGCTTTATGCCTAAATTTTGTTTTATTCGAGAACGAACAAAGGTTTTAGTTTGGCGGTGTTCGATAGTGTTGGAAAATTCCAACATATGGGGCCACACATGTAATATCTTAAAATGTGTGGTGCTATTGTTTAAAGAATATAAGTCAATTAAAGTGATCCATTAAATCGTTGTATATTAAAATGTGTGGTGCTATTATTTACAGGATATTAGTCAATTAAAGCGATCCGTGAATGATGTTTTGTGACTATTGTGTATTAGGTTTCATGAAAATATAGTGTAGAGACCGAAAGTTTGTTTTAGATTGATGAGGGGCCAATTTGAAACAACTGAAAGATAATGACTGTTTAGTTACTATTATTTTATATGATTATGGTCTCCATTTGATGGTGTTCTTGAGATTCTCTACATCCCCCATCAACAGAGCGTGAAAATCAAGAGAAGACCACCAATCAATTGGAAGATCATAACCCATTCAGGCCAACAATCAAACAATATGGATCAAGGTATGTTTATACTTCTGCTATTTTATTCTTTTCTCTGATTTCAACATGGAGTATAGATAATTGGAATTATATATGATAATGGGTTTGGTTGATAATCATTTTTACAAATCTCCAGCAAGTAGTATCAGAGCCACTCCATGGTTGAATTTTTGAGAAATTGAAGTTTTAAAATTCTGATTTTTTTTTTTTTGGGTTAAATGATTTTCCTATTATTTTGTGGAATTTGTAATTATATTACATGGATCAAGCATGTTATTATATGGATTACGATATAATTAAGGGTTTTTTCTTCATAAAATTCGGATTTTAAAATGGGGATTTTCAAGATTTGTTATTTAAAAAAAATTGCTATTGTCGGCGGCAGCGCTCGACCACATGTGGCCTTGGCGGCGTCATGATGGAAGTCAAGGGTTTTTTTTCCCTATTAGGTTTTCAATTTTTTGGAATTTTTGGAGGTGGGGACTTGGGCTGCAAATTCATTTATTTGGGAGCTCTGCTCGCAATTTAATATTAGAGTTAAGGTTAAATTATTTATATTTCAGCCCCTAAAATTTAAAGTTTATTTAAGTTGGGATTTAAGATTATGGGTTTAAATATTTTAGCCCCTAAAGTTTAAAATTTATTTAAGTTGGGTCTTAAGGTTATGGGTTTAAATAAATTCAATCCCTGGAGTTTTAAAATTAATTAATTTCTGCATTTTGCAATTGTAGCCCTCAAAGTTTCTGATTTTGTTCTAATTGGCCCCAAAATGTTTTAAATTTTAAATTTTACCTCCTAAAGTTTAAAATTAATTAATTTTGACCCTAAAGTTTTGAATAATTAATTTTTGGGTCCTTAAAGTTTTGGATAATTATTTTTTTGACTCCTAAAGTTTTCAACAATTAATTATTGACCCATAAAGTTTCGGATAATTAATTTTTGATCCCTAAAGTTCTGAATTATTAACCCATAGACCCCTAAAGTTTCAAAATAAATTATATATACAAATTTTGGTGTTTTGCTTTTCAAATTTTGGTACAAAACTCATTTGGGAATATAATATTCAAAAGTGAATTGATTGAAGCAATATGTGGCCAAAGTAACCTCTCTTGTGGAAATTAATTAACTTAGAATATTAGAAGGATTTCGTGTGTATGCTAGTTCATGCGGATATTAGCTGGCCCAAAGGAAGGTTAATATTTGGCCGAATTGCATGCACACTTGTGATGNTGTGTGATAATTATAAGATTTCCACATGAATAATAAATCAATCCAAAGATGGATTTGTTATTTGACAGGAATTATTGTCAATGCTTGATCACTACAACAAGAGTACCATTTTCAATTAATATCAATGTCCAAAGACTTGATATTAATGGCGTGCTAGGTATCTTGAGATGGGGTTAATCATTATTTGAATTAATTAATTGTTTAATATGGATTCCTATATGAACATATTAATTAAGTATAAGTTCTCTATTCAGTTAATCCATCAACTTCTTCAATATCTGCCTACATAAATTCAATTCCTATGCTAGAACCACAATTTAGGGGCTGGAAAGAGAACACTCAGATCATTCTTGGCTACGTGGACTTAGACCTTACGTTAAGAACTGAACAACCCGCTGTACTTATGGATAAAAGTTTCGCTAATGAAAAAGAGGACTTTGATCAGTGGGATCGTTCAAATCGCATGAGTCTTATGATCATAAAGTGTGGTATTCCAGAAACATTCAAGGGCGCTGTGTTCGATAAGGTAACTACTGTCAAGGAATTTCTTGCTGAAATTGAAAGACGCTTTGCAAAGAGCGATAAGGCTGAAACTAATAAACTTTTGGCGAACTTAGTTTCACTAAGGTATAAAGGTAGATGAAATATTCGGAAGTACATCATGAAGATGTCTCATATTGCTTCAAAATTAAAGGAACTAAAGTTTGAGTTATCTGATGATTTGCTCATGCATTTAATTTTGATTTCTATTCTTGCACAATTCAGTTAATTAAAGTCAGTTACATCTGTCAAAGGGGAAAGTAGGCTCTTAATGAGCTTATTCCATATTGTCTGCAAGAAGAAGAAAGCCTAAAACATGATAAAATTGATATTACTCACTTGGCAAGTACCTCTAAGGATAAGTAATAAAGAATAAGAAAGCTACATCCGGTTCGGTTCAAAATAAATGAAATAAATTTAGCTGTAACTTTTGTGAAAATTTGGGATATATAAAGAGAGATTGTACTAAATACCACGCTTGACGTGTAAAGAAAAGTACATTTCTCACTTTGGTTTGTTTTGAGGTAAATTTAGTGTCAATACCTAGACACATTTGGTGGATAAATTTCGGTATCACTACTCACATAAGTGTGTCTATGCGGGGTTGTCTGGGCTGTTAAAACCAATTGATGCTGAAAGATTTATCTATTTGGGGCGATGGAAAACCAGTTAAGGTTGAGGCTATAGGGAATTTAGGTTTTTTTTAAAAATTGATTATTATTTGAATTTGAAATAGATATTTGAGGTACCGTCATTTTGGATGAAATTTGGTTTCTATTTCTACATTGGACAAC